AAGAAGTGAGAAGAGATGATTACGGAAATGCTCGTCTGGTTGGCTTGTTAACATGGTTATCACAGCAGGCCAGGCAATCCTGATATTGACAATTTCGCCAACCAACTCGTCTGGACCATTCTGAATAATCTCGGCCAAATGTTCCAGTACTCCTATAAAATGCATTCTTTTACGCTCACACCAATTCTAATATTATTTCAAAATATTTCCATCGATAAAAGATTATTCGGAAGAATGCATGGTTCTCACGTACGGACCCGCGAAAATTTTTGGTATGTTGTCAAGTGGGAACCAGAAAAGCTGGAAAGTGGAAATTTTAAGAGAATGATTTCTCACAGTCCTGGTGGCCAGTCTCAATTCTTTTAGCTAGAAGCATTTGCCGAAAAAAGCAGTGCCATTAGCGATAAAAACCTGTGTGGGACTGTGCAAAAAGCGCATTTTCACATCGGCAGTCGGCGCGCTGACTACTTGTAATCCATACTATTATTAATAAATCTGTGCTTTTTATCATTTTTATAAGTACTTTTAACAGAATTAATGACAAAATTATGACAAAAAAGCGAAAAACAATGAAAACTTACTACAGCGAAGACTGCTAAACCAATTTACAGAGCAGCTTTCCCTGTTCGTCGCTAATGTTTTCATTGTGTATTCCCCTGAATTTTCCACCGTTACTTCTACACCATCAGATACCTTTAAACAAAAATACGCAGTAATTAATCACAGCATTATTACATATTTATCAGCAAGAAAATCTGCAGCCACCTGAAGGACAGGCTGTCACCTGTGAGTGTTTTAAAGCCTCAAATTTTTGTATATTTAAATTCTTAGTTATCAAATGAGTAATGATGGCTGTATAGGAAGGCAAGAGGATCGGTAACCGAAAATTTAAGGGAGTCGCGGGAGAATAGTTCCAAAAGAGAAAAAAGCAAAAAAGCCAAGATCACTAGTACAATGATTACTCAGTAATCACTGGCGGATCCAGGAGAGGGGACGGAGGCGAGGGAGGGCGGGAGG